CAGCCGTTAATTAAACCACTGTAGAAATAAAAACAAAGCTTACATGACGCCTAAGGGCTAGATAGTGTTTACAATAATTCTTAGCTCGATTCGTCATCGAAAAAAGCCTTTGGCTTAAAAATCATGCTATTGTTTTGGACTCATCCGGTGGCTACTTTGGCAAGTAGAACTTGTCTTCGTGGAGGAAGTTGATACAGTTACTACAATTGCGTAATGCCTCGATCCTGTAGAAGAAAAATGTATTAAATGTATACCGGCTTGTTAATAATGATTTCCGGTCTATTGGTTTTACCGCTGCATTGTTATCACGATCCATCGAAGATACCGATGCTCCACTTGTGAAGAGTTTGTTAGAATTTATGCTTTTTCCAAATCTGTCATGTGCGCATCGCTTATTTCGTACACGCGGAGCCAAGGTAGCAACATAACCTGAAGCAGTCTAAGGCCGGGGCAAGAAAAGGAGGGGGACTTGGGTCACACTGTAAAAAGAAACTTTTCTCTAAGTTCACTTCAGTGATGTTTTACAATTATTCAGTGAAGATCAACCATTCTTTTGCGCATTTCCTTTTCAGTTAGAGCTTTAATATGATTATCTCGATCAATAAAGAATGCTTTTCAACATGGAACACAATGATAAAAGTCTGGGAATCGACGTAGTCATGGCTTCACGACCTATTAAAGTAACTTAGCGAGATGTTTTAGTGTCTTATGTACGTATGGAGCAACACTGCGCGCGCTGTGAACGCCTCCGTGAAAATAAAAAGGTCGCACCTATATTTCTCCAATAAACATTATACACTTAATGTACGGTCCCAAGGGAAACAGTTAGTTTTGTTTTCCCAAGAGTCCTGTTGTTTCCCTTGACCTCGTCTGGAGAAACATCAGGACTCGAGGGAAACAAAACTAACTAGTTTCCAGAGATACCATACATTAAGTGCTTTGTTATATATTTAGACTTTCCCTCAAACAATCATATGGCAAAAACATGCTGTTGTATTCGGCGCGCGGGCAACAACTGCATGACGAAGAATCAACCAATCACAATGCTTGTTTTGTTGAGTGAAAGTCTAGATATAACAATTTGAGTTCTTGACAGAATAATTAATTTCTCTTGTATTAAGAAACTAACACGTGTAACAATATGTTTATTGAGCGCAAATCAAGCATTTTCCTTACGAAAAGTTTCTGATATCACATCATAAAGAAAGTTTGACAAAAACAATTCCTGACGCAGTTGGTTACGTCACCAAGAAACGTTTAATCACGCAATTTTGTGCGCACACTGAGGTACACTTATCATTTGGTGAAAACATAAAGATCGACCAATTATTTCAAAAATAAAAATTCCCCTGACTCGATGAGTTTACGAATTTTACATGATGTATTCAGGAATTGAGTGATCTAGCCGCACAATTCCGATCGATCGGCGTTAGAACTTTCCTAATGAACGGACACAGTATAGCTGGCACGCAGGTCAAATGGCGCGAGATGGGTATGCCTTTTAAACCAATTTGGACCAACAATGGGGATACGTCATTGCTCTTTTGCTACTTCAGCACCAACTAGATAACAGAGAAAAAAAGACAGAAACAAAATATATCATTTGATCTTAAGATCGCTCGCCCTAGGCAAATTTCGTCCGTAAGAGAACATGCAAACGGCTTCTCTGATCGAAAAGTCAGTCGCGAACTCATATCAACGTACAATTAGCTTGCTTCTGGGCTACCATGTGGGACTGTAATCATCTTTTTTGGAGTTTTTGTAAAGTCTGTTGTTTAATTGTCTGTATCGCAACGTAGGACAATTCTGCTCACCTGCTGTCTGTACGTAATTGCGGTTGACACTGTTTGTTACTGCTGAACGTCTCTCAGTCCGAATACTGAAGTTGTGCATTTGCACGCATGGGCAAAAAAAAAACATTGGTAAACAAAATTCATTTGACCCATGGTATTATCTCTTGACAAGGTCATAACGAAAGAACGTTTTTTTTAGCGATCGAAAGAAGAGTTATTAGCGGAAATGACGATTAAAACGTTTAAACCTGGTTACGGCTGGTTATAATGGGCTTTATTTGCTCGATACTGTATAACAGTAATATAATTAATTTTTACAAATTATCCATTTTTCTGGAAACTTCCATCATCACAACGAGAAGAGTACTAAATTATCAGTTAATTTTGTTCAAGGTTTGGACAGGAAGACACTTAAAATGTTTTACTCAGGTTTACTTTATACTTGTCTGTAAATATATCCAGCAGCTGCGTTATCGGCGCCTTCATATTGACTCCGGCTTGATAGCACATGATGAAATGAAGAATTTGGCAGGTTCTCTCTCTTCTATAAATTATTCTCGAACTTTTAGACGAAATAACTTAAGGTATAAGTTAAATAACAACGTGAATTAGCGAGACGTGTTGTTATTTCAATAGAGGTGTCATAAGGTGCTCTCTTTTAAGACTCTCTGTTGCTTAGCAACTGTCAAAATACCGTCTCGTTGAAATTCATAGAAAGTTTTGAGATTTTGTCCCGCTGAGGGTTGTAGATGGTTGCGATGGAGTTTGAACGAAATTGAAAACACTTGGAGCTCATCAAGACTTCAGTGAATAGATGGAGAGATTGTACGGAGCAATAGCTATGAAGAGGTCCGCGAACAATAGGAAATCATTTATACCACGGTTTTCCGCCGCTCAACTGCGCTTTCGAGACTGTAATTGTTGAATGCAGCTTGTAAGCGGGTTGCTACTTGCACGCTTGGTACAGTCCTAATTTAAATTTCCGTTCGATATAGTTGTTTTATAAACTCTAGATTTTAAAAGTGATAACTTTGTGGAGTCTTTTAATAGCACGGTGCTGATCCGTTATTACCGAGTGTGACTCTATTCCGGTGTCGCGCCGACCGTTTTGAAGTGGGGTTATTTTCTAATAACTTCTACGATAACTTTAACTCATTTTCTACGCGATGGCTGTAGATGCTTGTAATAGTGGGACCTTACTGCTGCCATTTCTCGACGAATCTGGGTGGAATCAAGAATTAAGGGCGTTTGTATACCTGATAGCGCTGTTATGGTGTTTCATGGGAATCGCCATTGTCGCCGATGTCTTCATGTGCGCGATTGAAACGATTACAAGCAAAACGAAAGAGGTCAAGGTACCAAAACAAGATAATCCAAGCGAAATGGACGTCGTGGAGATTCGAGTATGGAATGACACCGTCGCTAACCTAACATTGATGGCTTTAGGGTCATCAGCGCCGGAGATTTTACTAGCTATTATAGAAATAGTTATTCTGAATAAATTCGAGGCAGGTAAACTTGGGCCGAGCACGATTGTTGGCTCGGCAGCGTTCAATCTTCTCGTGATCACTGGAGTTTGTGTGATGAGTATTCCTACCCATGAACAGCGTAGGATCAAAGCTATCAAAGTGTTTGCAGTGACAGCTAGCTTCTCAATGTTAGCTTACATCTGGTTGTATTTAGCGCTTAGTGCAATTACGCCCGACGTAATCGACCTTTGGGAGGCAATACTCACATTTCTACTATTCCCGATTCTGGTTGTAGTGGCTTACATTGCCGACAAGGAGTATTGTTGCCCCGGGAAAGTCCAACCTCAGGATCCAGGAGTCCTCGAATTGGGTAAGTACTACTTAACTTTACTTAACAAGCTGAAATGTTCTCCTTGTTATTTTAATACAGGGATAAAATTTCAGGATTACGCAAAATTTCGATTGCTTTGTTTACCTTAATTTTGAACTGGACGATTTCTCTTTTCAACACTAACCCCATTCGCATTGAAGTTGTAATTTTTTTAATTCGTGAAGGAAATTAGAAATGTGTCTTGATTTAATGTTGTGAGTTTGCCTAGAGAACCATGTTGCTAAGTGTTTTGTCGAAAAATACACTGGTTGTTGGGGATAATCTGCAATTATCTGTGCCGTGCACATTTGAATAAATAGTGTAATTTTCGGTTATAAAGAATAATTATTCATTCCCACCTTACGTTTTAAACAAGTAGCAATATGTTTTTTCTAATGACGTTTCAGTTGCGATTTCATTTCACGTCAAAAAAGGAGAAGGAATTGCTAGAAATTTAAATGTGCTAAGATCTGTTGCTAGCGCACGAAAACCATTAATTTGTTCAGCTGTCATACTCAGAGTTACCTCAACGTCAAATAGGGATTATTTACATATTAGAAGCAGCTCTTTGCAGGAGACCGTTAATTTTTGCAACCGAATACCAAAATAAAACTTTTCACCAATTACAAAAAATATATATATATAGTTAATATATATATATATATATCATTGCTTTTGCATTATAAATTATCAGAACATAGGCAATTTACGTTATAGGGCTCTATTTAAAGGTAACGTGTCAATGACTAAAATTGATTGGAAAAATCAAGAATTGTCCTCATGCAGGTGCTGTAACTCTATGCAAATCCACTGTCTAGTTTGACATGACAAGGGATATGTTTTTTTGTAAACAGGAAATATGGGTGTGATGAAACTGTTGCAATACCGTGTTCTCAGCCATTAACAGTGTGTTTCAAAGATCTGAAAAGTTGACATAAAATGATTTTGTTACAATTTTTGAAATTTGTCTCAAATGGATAACTATGGGATTTGGTTTCCCCACATGAGATTTTGAACAAGAACACTCATTAACCAGTTGACAATCAGGATTGTCATCTAACTAATTAACAGGATCACAAATGTTTTACCCACATAATTTGCATCATTGGAACTATCTGGTGGTACTTCAGTTTTTAAAATTGGTTTGCTTGCTACCTGTCAGTTTACTATTTTCACCAATTTATCAAATGCCAATTTCATTTTGACAATGAAAGTGCAGTTTGACATACTTGCATATTTACAAGTCAAGGGAAAAAATAAGATATTAAAACATTTTATATATACATACTGTCTGTATAAGTTTGCTTGTAAAAATTTTTATGTGCTATGATCATTACTATGCTGACTATGCCATGAAGATTTGGTTGTTGTATTTTGGGTTGTACTTTGTACTTGGTAATTTTTTTGGGATCTTAACTGGTGGAGAACAAACCAATTGACTTTGTATACATAAGGTACATTTACAGAGTTTGAGTGGGATATCTGTTACAAAAAAAGAAGAATCTGTTGAATGTCACATGGAGCTGGAGCAGGGAGCAGCAGATTCTAAATTTTTACGTGCTCTGAAACACTCCACTAGGCTGCATCCGCTTAAAATGCAAATGATTCACAGTGGGTTCTACTGGCTTCAGTTATTTTGTTTTTCAAATTCAGTGTCCAGAGGGATTGAAAGGGTATGGATATTTACTGTTTCATTCTTTTCATCTCAGACAATACACATAGCAGTACTGCAGAGTAAGGCTCTGTTCATAATAATAGGGCCTGTGAAACCAGACTGCCAGTAGCTTCCCTAATGGCTAGGGAAAAAAATTATGTGTCTGAACCTATACGAACAGGTATAAAAAATATGCTTTTTTTCATCAATTCTGCTTTAGAGAAGGAAGGGAAAAAATTGATGTAACTGGTGGATGGGGGAACTCTTTTAAAGTGTTATATTTTTTGAAATGTAGATAACACTGTATTTGTGTATTTGCCTTATACAGCTGAGGGTGCTAAAACACTGTCCACCCCTACACATGATCCAGAGGTTGAAAGTTTTATCAAGGTAACTTTCTTTTCAACAGTTTTTTGGTGTGCCATTGAGAGTTATTAGGAAAAATATTTTTACTTTTGTACTTTAGGAAGTGAGCAGGAATCCCGATCTGTCAGAGGATGATGCAGCAATGCTTGTTGCCGCACATATTAAATCAAGGCAACCAAAGAACTACGGGTACTACCGAGTGGGTGCCATTAGGGATCTGGGAGGCAGTCATAAACTGAGACCAAAGATGGACCCCAAACTTAGAGTGGTACGTAGCTAAGCTTTTTACGGATAGAGCCTGTCACGATTCCTCTCAACAGATGTCAACAACTAACGATAAAATGCAAAGGATTTATTCAGAATATGAACACAGAAAATTAATCTAATCTAGAGAAGCTTGTGAATATTTTCTAATCCAAACTTTATAATAAGATATATTTTTTATTGTTATAACAGATTTACGAAGAATTGTCGGAGGTTGGTTTTTCTTCATCTGGAGCTACTGCCATCATGAGTCATGCCTTGGGTGAGTACAAAAAAGCCTATCCGAAGGACTAACCCTGAAATCTCCTACGAGCGAGCAATCTCCCATGGGGGAGCACGATCCCCATGCCTTATGGGCCATTTTCCCCCCTCAGTCTAATCTTATTTCATTGATTGTAGCTGGTAAAGTACAACCTGCTCGTGTGGAGTTTGCTGCTCCGGAATTTGCTGTCCTAGAGAGCGACAAAATTGTCAAGATTGGTGTGAAAAGATCTGGAAACACGAAAATTACAGCCAGTGTAAAGTAAGAACGTTTAACCCTTACACGTTAATAAATTCCAAGATTACGAGCAAGGAGAGTTTGCTGTGCAAATTTATACTTCTTCAATTGGCCTAAGAGAAACGTGGTTTGAAGCCCAAATCGAAAACTGGAACAAATTGATGTAGTTTTGCAAAAAATCTTCAGAAGCATTGCTCGTTCTCAGGGTTCAGTTGTTCGAAGGCTGATTAGCGCTCGCCCAAGGTTAATTCTTATTCCGGATTCCTTAATTCCTTTGTTCAAAAGCCTTTTTTAGATAATTTTTGGTTTTTCTTCTAGAGCATCCATTCATCAAATTGTAGCCAAATTGCACTGAATTTTCTTTTAAAGCTTTCAGGTCTGAAATCAGATTTCACACTTACCCTGGGTTATTTTAACTCAATTACGAACAAACCGGCCCCGGGGTACAACTTGCAATATTGGGTTACTCACATCCCGAAACTTGGATGACTAAATCAAGCTGATATGTTGACTCTGAAATTTTGCGCTCTTTTGTCAGTGAAGTGTGCACAAGTATTAAGAAACGAATATATATTGTTACTTTTTCCCACAGCTATGAGACTATAAACGGCACAGCCATGGCTGGATCTGACTACGAAGCCAAAAGAGACGTGCTTGTCTTCCAACCCGGTGAAAACTTGAAACATATCAACATTACTATCATCGATGACAATGAATGGGAAGAGAACGAAGTTTTCTTCTTGAAATTGGCCAGATTTGACTACAAGGACGACACTGTCGAGATAGGAGAACAAAGCATTACTGAAGTCACTATTATAAATGATGACGGTGAGTTGGGTCTAGAGTAAGTTAAAACGCGAATTAGCTACAGATGTGTTCATCGAAAAATGAAACACACTATTTGCGCTCTGCAACATCAGCTAACAAAACACATTATGGCAAGTTTTTTTTTTAGACTCAATTTCGTATACAGCTCATGTAGAATGCGCTGATATTCTTTTCGTTTGATTTTCAGAACCCGGAACCTTTTCACTGGAGAATCCAAGCTTTGTAATTAAAGAGAGTATTGGGAAAGCTTACATCAAAGTCAACCGTACCCAGGGTACAGACGGGAGGGTGGAGGTCACTTGGAAAACCACGGATCAAACGGCAGTAAACGGCAAAGATTACCATGGAGGGTCTGGCACGTTGGTCTTTGAACACGGCGAACAAGCAAAATCAATTGCAATAGACATTATCGATGATAAAGATTTTGAGAAAGACGAAACGTTTCTTGTAGAACTCATCAAAACCTCAGCAGGAGCAAAGATAGGTCATATTCGAAGCGCTGCGGTCAATATTGTGAATGATGACGGTAAGCAATAATAGACTTTCTTGTTATGCTTTCTGATAGTTTGATCACGGATATTTGTAAAATTGGAGCTTTAATTTGCATTAAAAATTTGCACGCTATAATTATCATTACTAGTGTTTTTATCGTGATTGTTAATCATCACCATTCTACAGTTCTAAGATTGAGAGCTACACTAACGAACAAAGCGTCAATACGACGATTCTGTTAGTAAAATCTGGATTTGGACAAAGGCACAAACAGCCAGCCACGATTATTCACCCATAATTCGCTTATATTATTTCAACAACTTCGTTAAAATTTATCATGTTTGTTTATACTTTTTCGTTAGCTCTTACCTATTTGTGGACAGCTATAAACAAAAAAACTAGACGTTGAGATCGGCCGAGATACATCACGTAATCTTTTAAAAACTTTTGGCGCCGGCATACCATTTTTAGCTGTTGAATTTTGCGTGACAAAGTTGTTATTTTTTTGTGTTCTCCAGAGTATCGCAGATTATTTGACCGAGTTGTTGCACTCACTCATATAAATCTCCGCCGTTTGGAGCTGGGGTCCGAGTCCTGGGCGTCGCAATTCCGTGAGGCGATGTCAGTAAATGGCGGAGATGTGGAAAATGCCACTGCCATCGATTACGTCATGCACTTCTTCACCTTTGCTTGGAAGGTGCGATAGACTTTTAACAAATCTATTTTATGCGTACAGTATTACTGTTTTCCTTTACCTGTTTATTGGTCTTATTTCTAGGCGGCTTTTTCTGTGCTTACAATGTCCAACTGTAAGTGAGTAGTCGGAAAATGCGTGTGATGCGTTAATTTCCAACATGTAATTTTCTTTCTCATTTTCGGCAGGTTATCTTCGCCATAATTCCCCCTTGTACTTGGCTTGGTGGTTGGGTGACATTTTGTGTCGCTCTAATGATGATCGGCCTAGTCACCACCATAGTTGGAGACTTAGCCACCATATTTGGATGTCTAATTGGACTAAAAGATGAAGCGACCGCCATCTTGTTTGTGGCTCTCGGCACCAGTCTCCCAGACTTGTTTGCTAGCAAAACTGCGGCGGTGAATGAGAAGTACGCGGATGCGTCTGTAGGAAATGTCACCGGTAGCAACTCTGTGAATGTTTTCTTGGGACTGGGATTGCCGTGGGTGATTGCTGCGAGTTACCATATGGCTAAGGTAAGAAGGATATCACTATCTTGAACTAAAAGGTCGAATTTTAAGCTATGAGTACGTATAGAATACGGTAAAGAACTTAAAGAGAAAGATTGAAACATTGGCCCGCTAGAATCGTTCAAGTGGTCATTTACAGTCCGTGTCAATCTCCAAGCACAATAGTACTCCTTTTAATGGAAAATTGCGAGTCACCGCCGTGACCAAAAGTACTATATATGGTCGATTCAGATAACGAAAAAACCTTGTTTGAACTGCAACAAAAGCCCTTTGTTTCGATTTAGGGCTTTTAACTAGTTGTGGATATTTTCGTATTTTTCGCAGCATTACAGTACATATCACGCACAAATTAATCTCATTTTCATACGAATGGTTGGGTGCTGGCCTCTCTTTGAAAGAGTGGCCAAAGTTGATTCGGAAATTGCGTATTCTGTGCGCAAGTGTCATTGAGTAAAATACTCAAACAGCGAATAGCGTTGAAGGCACGCTCTGATTGGCCACTCAAACTCCGGATATCCTTTGCTATTCGACTTTGAGCAACTCGTGTGGGATTTGAGCACGAAAATGTATTAATCGTTGCAGGAACAAATGAATTAAAATCATCTTTTTGAGTGTTATTATCTCACTGTGTTAGTACATAATAAAATACTCCATGTCAGTGTTTGTGAACGTAAGTCTGTGAGATAATTTTCATAGCCAAGTGATTATTTGCTTAAGGATGTCTCTTTGTCGTTTTTTTTGTTAATTGTAGGGCACAGTGTTCGAAGTGAAGGCAGGGACATTATCCACAAGTGTTATCACATACAGTTGTTGCGCGGTCTTGTGTTTTGTGCTCCTTTTGGTACGAAGATATTCAAAATTTATGGGCCGCGCTGAGCTTGGAGGGCCAAATGTTACCAAATACGTATCTGGGGTCTTCTTAATATTTTTATGGTTCGTTTACGTTTTAATTTCTTGCCTCGTTATTTATGAGATAATCACATTTTAAAGCAATGTTTTATTCAATGTAAATACGCAAGGATCGTAACAAAGAGGCAGTTATTTAAATTATTCCACGAC